ATCCAATGCCCCCTTCTGACTTCTGTGAGTACTGCACACATGTGGCATTTTATACGCACACACACACACATACACACACCACACACATACATGAAGACAAAATACTCATACTCTTAAGTAAAATATTTTTAAGGGTAGAGGGGAGGGAGGGAAGGAGATAGAGAGAGAAAGGGTTTGCACTCTAGGCCTATGTGAATCTGTCATCTGCCTTCCTGGACCTTTGCTCTTATCAGTGAATCATGGTGATAAGAGGAACAGCCTTGTTGTAAAGATCCCAAGGTAGGAAGCAGAGGACATGACTCATGATAAGAGCTGTACCTGTGTTTACTGTGATTAACAACCTGCCTCTCCTACCCATGAGTTCAGGCAGACCACTTTTCTTCTTTGAGCTATAATGCCAACACAAAGTGCAGAAGAAAGCATGTTCCGTTATCATCCACCCAGAGCAGTCACAGAGTGCACCAGGTCAAACCTCGCTCATGGGCCTTATCTTCAAGAATGGAAGCAAAGGGACCCGTGGGGACAGATGCTAGGAGGAAAACAAGCGGAATTTGTAAGACAGAGAGACCCATGGGGAAGGTTACTGCATAGCGGAGAGATGGACCTTCCGAGCAGATGGGAGGAGGCTGGTCCTGGGGGAGTCAACACCAGTGCCCTGGCAGTTACTATGGTACTGTGCTCAGACCCTGAAGCTCAGCTCAGAGAGTTGAGCTCACTCTGTAGACCAGGCTCAAACTCAGAGATTTGCCTGCCTCTGCCTCCTGAGTGCTGAGATTAAAGATGCACACCACCAACACCCAGCACCAGTGAGTCTTTTTCTCCAGTGTGAGTTCCAGTTTCCCAGGAAGTCCTGCAGGCCTAAAGTGGTCGGGTTAGGGCCAGAGGTGGGGTTGTGGCTGGGCAAACAGCTCAGAGTCCACTAACCCTTTTCCCCGGTTTCCCTGCCCCAAGGGTAAAGGGCCCTGAGGTTCTCCTGGGAAGGACATCTGCCTAGGCCGGAAGCCAGGTGTTTCCCCACCTCCTTTCACTCTACACATCCACTGTGCACTTCCAAGGTGCCAGTCACAATTTCTTGTTGAGCAGAAATAAATCTAACATCTCCACCCTCCTCAAATGCACAAGTTAGTTGGAGGACCCCTATAGATTCCATGGTGGATTAACTTGTTCTCTGTCCCCCAGGACTCCTGCTGGACACGACCAACAACTTCAGCTATATTTTCTACGCATCAAGCTTCTTGCTCATCTCATCAGCCCTCTTCATGGGAGGAGGCTTCTACGCCGTGGAGAAGAAGCAGCTGAAACAAAATGGGCCAGCCAAGGCGGAGGACACCATCTCAGAGATTACCCCAATGCAGGGTCTTACCTCAGAAGACAAGGACGGCACCAAGAAGCAACTGTGCCCTGAAAACATGTACGTGACCACTGTCTGAACTCCAGAAGTCACATGTGACCTGCCTCAGAGCTCTGAGGTCCATGAGGGACCTTCCTGCCAGGAAGTAGAGTATAGAAATGGGCCTTCCTGACTTTCTTCCTTGGGTCCCAGGAAGATGGGTCTGAGTCCTGTTTGAAGCAGTCATAGCTAGCTACCCTGGGCTGGCTCCTCACAGCTGCTCCTACAGCCCAACACTCTGGGTCTTCCCACCCAACCTTCCCATTTCGACGTTCTCTGTCCTTTTTGGCAACTCTCCAGACAATTCTGAAGAATTCACCTTTCTTCCAAGAACCTCCTCCCCTCTTCCCACATAATCAGCCCTGACCCCTCAGGTCAGGAGGATCAAGGGTGCTGCTCTGCAAAGCTGAGCCTCACACTGACTGGAGCCACGGGAGAGGCAGAGACGGAGGGCCAGGATGAGAAGTCTGCGTCAGTACAGGATGGGGACAAATTGCCTGGTAGAATGCTGGTCCTGCTGCCTCTGCCGAGAGCAGGAGAGGAAGCTGCTGTCCTGGAGGCGGTCCTCCTGCTTAGGGCTCAGGATTTATGAAGTCTGAGGAGTCTTCTACCATCAAGCAGGGCCTGAGCCAGGATGCCCTCTCTTCCCCTATTCTGTATCCACGTAAGGGAAGGCAGACATTTGACTGAACAGGAGACAGGAAGGCCGGCTGGCTAGGTAGCCTAAGGAACATTATGAAAATTGGGTTTGTATATGCAAACTGTAGCCTGTGCTGTGTTCTTGGCCTTCTGAGGTTCCCCTTTCTCCGGGATGTGTTAGAACTATCAACCCTGAGGCAGTAGTTGGCTAAATCAGCAGCTGCTGCGAGCCTGAGGGCATGGTCTGGAGCTATGCCCACGCACACACTTCTGGTGGTGCCCTCTGAGGTCATCACCCAGGACTGGCTGTCATCAGCCCAGGCTTGTCCCAACAGGGCACTCCAGGGAATAGGAAAACAGACTGTTTGAATTATATACAAAAACATTCCCTGCAGCGGGTCATAAACTCTGGATTAATAAAGCAGGAAAACAGGCCTGAGTAAATTTCCTCCACTCTCCCAGCTTGGCAGAGATTTCTTGGTCTTGTTTGTTGGTTCTGGTTCAACCAGACTCCAGCAAGAAAACCTTATCAGGAAAAATGATTTTATTTTCATGACTGACGCCAGCCTTCCTCCTCCACATGTCCATCTGGCATGAATAAGCATCTTTAGGACTAGGACATCTCTGCTGAGATGCTGTCAAGAGTGCCCCCTTGGGGCCAAAGGAAGTACTGCAGTGATGCATTTGCTGTGTTGCTCTGGGCTTCCTCTTCACTATCTCAAGACCTTGGGTGGAGATGGCTGAGTAGGTCCAGGCACCTGCTGCCAAGCCTGACAACTTGAGTTTGACCCCTGGGACCCACATGGTGGAAGGAGAGGCCCCACTACCACAAGCTGTCCTCTGGCCTCCACATGTGCCCTGTGGCACACACACACACACACAAATACACACAAAAATAAATGTAGTTTTGTTTTTTTTTTTTTAAAGTTTGGTCTGCATAAGATAATGTCACCTTCAGATTGAAAAGTCTGCCTCTGTATCTAAACCCCACTGCTTTCCTGATCCCAACTTGGCCCTGAGTTTGGCCACCAGGGATAGCTTGTGCTCTGAAGGGAAAATGCCAAGACCTTTTTCACCACCCTAATGGAAAACAGAGTTGGACTGGCTAATGGGTCCACTTCCAGGAAACATTTAAGTGAAATGGTATCCCTGAACCTCCAGCTAGGAAATTTTCATCTCACTTGCTCATTGGCAATAATGGCATTAATCTATGGGCAACAAGCCAAGAAGGGATGAGGTAGGGATGTAGTTTAAAATGGTAGTGTGTACCAAGCCCTGGGTTCAATCCCCAGCCTCAAATAAACCTAGAAGTGTTGTAATCCCAACACTCAGGAGGTAGAAGCAAGAGGACAAGAAATTCAAGATATTCTTGGCTACATAGTAAGTTCAAAAGAAAAAATTTCTGGGCAAAATCCCTTTAATAAATATTTATTGAGCATCTACTGTGTTCCAGGGCTTGGGCGGAGAGAATAAGTCCATGTCACTCTTGGCACAAAACCAAAGGCTGAGGCTTCTTTCCCAAAGGAAGGGCTGTTGTGGTATTTTGTTTGTGCTCTAACAAATAAAGCTTGCCTGGAGATCAAAGTGCAGAGCTAGCCACTAGAGAAGCCAGGCAGTGGTGGCACACACCTTTAATCCCAGCACTTGGGATCTCATGCCTTGGATCTCAGTACTTGGGAAGAGGAAACAGGAAGTGATATGGCTGGGCAGAGAGAGGAAGTGATAAGGTGGGGACAGGAGCAAAGCCCCCTTTCAATGGGAGGATTCAGTAGATACGAAGTGGCTGTGGCTTGCTCCTTTGTCTCCCTAATCTTTCAGCATTTACCCCTAGATCTGACTCTGAGTTTTTATTATTAAGACCAGTTAGGATTTGTGCTACAAAGGACCCTGGAAATGAGACTGAATGGTCTTTGCGATTCCAGAACCCACACTTTGCTCATCCCCTCAAAATCTTCTAGGGATGGTCTGAGGCAGTTCCTGGCCACAAAAGGGTGGAGCTTGCTTCTATATGGTCCCCAAGTCCTAGGTTCCTGGTCCCCAGGTCTTTGATGCTCTTTCTAGTCATAGGTCAAAAAGACCCCTGGCCATCTTGAGCTGAGATGTACTTTCCTAAGCTAGACAGGTTCCTCAACAAAACCCAGATTTCTCATGGAGCAGCCTCGGTACTCAAACACACACACTAAGGTCAAAACTCTTGTCCCGGACTGGAGAGATGGTTAAGACCACTGACTGCTATTCCAGAGGACCTCAGTTCGATTCCCAGGACCCACATGGCAGCTCACAGTTGTCTGTGACTCCAGTTTCATAGCAAAAAAAAAAAACCCAATACACATAAAATAGAAATAAATTAATAATAATAAAAAAAACCCTCTCGTCCCAGGTTGGCACTGGGCAGGGATTAACCACAGACTTGAACCCCAGAAGTGGGGGCCAGGGAAAGGTAAAGTACATAAGCCCTTCTGCTGTAATTCAGGCCCCTGGTTCCAAACACGGAGCTAAGTACATGACCCTTGACCCTTGCCCTAAAAAACCTCACTGCCTGCATCCTCCACCTCCAAGGCGACAGCATGGCAAGGCTGCCTCCCTCCCTGACGCTCCTTGGGGCCCTTGTTTTGCTTTGCAGGCAGGGTCTTGCCATGTCGCCCTGGCTTGCCTTGAACTCTGGCTGTTCTCAAACTCATAGAGGTCCTCCTGCCTCTTCCTCCAGTGCTGGGATTCAACCAGCACCATGCCTGGACGACCATGAGGTCCATCTAGCTGCCAGTTCCATCCATCCTTCCTTCTCTCCCTTCTCTCTCCTCCCCAGTCCCTCCACACATCCCCGCAGCAGCGCAGCGGACGCCCAAAGAAAGCCACGAGCTCGAGAAATCGCGCGGGAAGTGCAGGGGACGCTCACTAGCCACGCCCAATCCCGTCCTGGTCCGGCCCCTTCCGCTCCCTGGGGCGGGGCTAGAGTGATTTCCGCCCTGAGCCCGGAAGCGGGGTGGAGAGCGCGGTGAGGGGTGTGCCTCTGGTTCCAATTCGCCACAGCTTTTTGTCACCCGCCTTAAATTCGGTTTTCAAACCGGCTCTGACAGGATCCTGAGATCCCTACCCATCCCCATATCTCATCTCCAGCTGCCAATCACTGCAGACTGCGAACCCAGGACCGGACAGAGTTTGCCGCCTGCCGCTCGGTCGCCCCCGGGACAGGTCAGGGTGCCGGCGAGGGTTTCGCGCGGCCTTGTGGCCTCTTCCTTCCCACCCGTCCTCCCGGCTCCTTCGTCGCTCCGACCATGGCACAGAAGCCCAAGGTAGACCCCCACGTCGGGCGGCTAGGGTACCTGCAGGCGCTGGTCACTGAGTTCCAGGAGACCGAGAGCCAAGGTGAGCGGTGTGGGGTGGGCACGAGGGACCGGGAAGGGCCCCGACGGCAGCAGCCGCACGGGCCGACCCAGTACCGCTTCCCACTGCAGACGCCAAGGAGCAAGTCCTCGCCAACCTTGCCAACTTCGCCTATGACCCGGGCAACTACCAGTATCTGCGGCAGCTGCAAGTGCTAGACTTATTCCTCGACTCGCTGTCAGAAGAGAATGAAACGCTAGTCAAGTTTGCTATTGGTAAGGGTACTGACGAGATCCTGACTAGAGCGACATCAGAGATTTAGAAGCCAGTCCTTAAGCCAGGCGTGATGGCACTCGCCTGTAAACCTAGCATTAGGAGAGGCTGAGGCCGGAGGATTGCCGTGACTTGGAGGCCAGCCTGGAATACAGAGTAGGACACTGTTACAAGACAAACTAGTCTTTAGAAAAGAGATAAGCAAGGAAGTGAGTTGAAACTGCTTTGAAAGAAGTTTGGAGCTTGCTCTTATATATCAAGAGACGCAATGGTGACTTGAAATGTATAGCTTAGGACTCCTGGGGTTAGATGACCGTTTGAATTATTCATGATAGATTTTTTTTTTAAAACTGTGTGTGTGTGTGTGTGTGTGTGTGTGTGTGTGTGTGTGTGAATGAGTGTGGGTATGTGCACCACAGTGTATGTATGAAAGTCAGAGGACAGTTTTTCAAAAGTCAGTTCTCACTGAGTATGGTGGCATATGCCTTTTATCTCAGAAGACAGAGGTGGGTGGATCTCTGTGAGTTCAAAGCCAGCCTAGTCTACATATTGAGTTCTAGATCACCTAGGGCTACATGGTAAGATGGCTGTCTCAAATGAATAGGTAAAATAGTCATGGTTATCAGTTCTCTGCTTCCAGTTTGCGGAGGCAGAGCTCATGTTTCTTCTGTGTAGTAGAGCAGCAGCGTGCTCCATAGCTGGCCCATGAGCCTCCAGCCGATCCTCCTGTCTCAACCTCCCAGTCTCTCCTGGGATTACAGGTGCTCAACACTGCATCTGAATTTTAGGTAGGTTCCTGGTGTTGAACTCAAGTTGTCAAGTTTGAATGGCAAGCTCTTTGACCCACTGAGCCATCTCATCTCCCTAGTGATAGATTTTTTGGCTTTTTTCCAGACAGGATTTCTCTGTGTAGTTTTGGTGTCTGTCCTGGATCTCGCTCTGTAGACCAGGCTGGCCTCGAACTCACAGAGATCCGCCTGGCTCTGCCCCCTGAGTGCTGAGATTAAAGGTGTGCACCACCACTTCCCGGCTCAATGATAGATATTTATTATTGGAAAGTACTGGTCCAAGTTCTGGAGAGATGGTGAACAGGTTGGGGAAAGCCTTTGCCCTAAAGGAGTTTGTTTTCTAGAAGGTGAACCACCATCCCTGGCTTTCAGAGGACAGTTTGTAGAGTCAATCCTCTACCATGTGAGTCCTTGGGATGGAACTCCGGTCATGAAGCTTGGTGGCAAGTGCTTTACCCACTGAGCCATCTTGCAAGCCTGAAAGGACATTTTTGTTGGCGGTGGTTTGTGTAGACGAGGGTCCAGCTTGGGCCCTGCACATTTCGTCTGACTGTGTCCGTAGAGAGATCTCTTTCTCTCCCAAATGAACGTCATTTTAGAGCAGGTTGAGGAAGCTTGAAGAGGCTGGGGTGTAGCTCAGTTGGTAGAGTGTGTGGTGGCCCGTGCTCCGGAGCCCAGCACTCAGGAGATGGAGACAGGTGAATGAGGAACTCGAGCGCATCTCCAGCCGCAGAGCAAGTCCACGCCTGAGCCACTCAAGACTCTTTCTTAGCAAAGAAGAAAGAATTCCGAATCTAAAAATTCCCACATAGCCACACCCACTTTTTCCTATCTTAACTTCCTCCTTTGTATGGTTTGTTTGTTATAATTAATGAGCTGATATTGATACATCATGACTAGCCAAAGTCTTTATATTAATCAACTATCCTTCATTTTTTTCCTAATACCCTTTTCTGGCCCAAAATCCCACATGGCATACATGACTTGATCATGTCTTACTTGGGCCGGGAGGTGGGGGTGGGGTGGGGGGTGTTTTCTGAGACAGGGTCTCGCTGTGTAGCTCTGGCTGGCCTGGAACTCCCTATGTAGACCACCCTGCCTTTGCCTACCTAGTGCTGGAATTAAAGACTTGTGCCACCATGCCTGGCATGATGTTTTTCTTGTGTTTTCCTGTGACAGGAAGGTGCTGTTTCTACCATGCCACGTTAGGAACGTTTAGTGCCAGTGGGACTAGCTCTCCTGATGCTCACCTTCATGGCCTGGCTGAGGGAGTGTTTGCCAGACATCTCTAATGTGGACCTGCTTTCCCTCACCCTTTCCATAGTGCACTCTTGGAAGGGAGGTGGTACATAAATTACCTTCAGTCTCTTTTTTAAAGTCCTTTTAATATCGTTCACATTTATTTAATGTGTATCTGTGTTTGTGTGTGTGTCAGGATGGGGATGTGGAGGACAACATGCAGGAGTCAGTTCTCTCCTTCCACCATGTGAGATCAAGGGATGAAGCTCAGATTGTCCACTTCTGCAGCAAGTGCCTTTAAATCTCTTTTATAGCTGTATGTTTGGGGGAGTCTTCTCCAGGGGACATGTAAACAATATCTGTGCCTTCTCTGTAGAGCACAGCAGCAACCAAAGTTAGAGCTCACCAAAGTACAACTTGGGCAACCACTACTTACAGAGTGGGGTGACCCTGTGGCAGCTGTGCCACCAAATAGACTTGCCCCAGCACGGGATGACTTCGCTATAGATGGAGTCCCTACCCCTTCAGGAGCTTTCCACCATCTATAAATTGTAGCACCTCCAAGGCCCCAGCGGTTAGGGCACAGTCACAGCAACTGAGAGGTATAGGAGGGAGCCCCTAGAATCTTGAGTGAGGACCTAATGGCTCTCCTGTCCCCTTCTGAGGGAGCATCAGTAGTCAGCAAGTACAGTGGGAATGTCTCCTGTAAATAGTCACAGTTGTGCTGATGAAGTGACAGCTGTCGGTCATGTGCAGTGCCACGTGCCTTTAATCTCGGCACTCAGAAGGCAAAAAGAAAATGACAGCGTGCTTCATGTTTGTTTGGAGGGTAGCGATTCCTCAAAAGATGCTCTTTCCGTAATGCTGACTGTTGAATGGTCTACACCATGTCTACAAGGTGGCCCACCTTCCTGTATGTCTCTTTACTCTCAAGCGTATCATTTAGCTCAGGGCTTCTTAACCTTTTCCCACTCAGAAGCCCTATTATCCTGAAAAAAAAAAAATTGGGGGCCAGGGGGTGCAGTTCAAGACAGGTTTTCTCCATGTAGTCTTGGAACTCACTCTGTAGACCAGACTGACTTCGAACTCAGATCTGCCTGCCTCTGCCTCCTGAGTGCTGGGACTAAAGGTGCACCACCATCACCTAGCTATCTTGAGAAAATGTTTGCATATATATACATTACACAAAACAAACATTACTATAACAAATAAATATAGCTCTGGCATTTTAAGGGGGGTGGAAGCAAGAGAATCAAGAATTTAGGGTGATTTTCAGCTCAATAACTTTGAGTCTAGCCTGGGCTACATGAGACCCTGCCCAAGGGGGTGGAGGATCCAATTACTAAATTACTAATTTATTAAAGGAAACGTTTGCATACTAATAAGATGAATTTTTTGTTTATTTTTCACATAATCAAACCTGGCTGAATGTTTGATACTGTGGGATGTAGAACATCCTCAGTGTTTGTCAGAGTTTTAATGGCTTTGATTTTATAAGATCAGTGCTGAGAAGTCTGATTTGCAGAAATACATAGTAACAAATGGTAGATGTATGTTTAGGGCTGGAATTAAAGCTGTGCACACCATACCCAACTGGCCAGCTGTTTCAGGATTTCCACATTCAGTTATATAACCTCATGTGTGCTGGTGACTTACAATATAAGAAGGGTGATTTAAGTCAGGCAGTGGTGGCACAAGCCTTAAATCCCAGCACTCCAGAGGCAAGCAGATCTCTATGAGTTTGAGGCCAGCCTGGTCTACAAAGAGAGTTTCAGGACAGCCTGAGCTACACCAAGAAACCCTGTCTTAGAAGAAAAAAGAAGCAGCAGCAGTGATTTAGCTTGTCCGTCTGTCTCCTTCGTTTCCTGTAACCTAGAAATTCGATCTAATAGCATAACAATCCAGTGACACTTTTTATCCCTGAATACATTGGTATTTAGAGACACCCAGCTCTTCTTGATGTTTGCAATCCACAGAACTGGCACACAGGTCCTCTGTCTCTTCACTGTGCAGGAGCTCCAGAGCACACAGAAATTCCAGTTATACTTACCCTCCACAAGCAACTGCTCCAGTGAGTGTGGTGCTGAGGGAATTCCCCTAGCAGTCAGGACCCAGAAGAGGCCTGTGGAGCTGTAGGCACATTGGGGATTGAACCTCACGTGCAGGGGCAATGGTGGCGCTCTAAGTGCTGCCTACGGGTCTTCAGAGCCTCCTATGGGGCCTCTATAGTTGGGCTATGGCAGGAGTCCAGTTGTCTAGATATTATTAGTTCAAGTCAGCTCTGTTCTTTTAGAAGAATGTTATACTAGATAAATAGTCTAAAAATTGGCCCCAGACTGGGAGGAAGAAGGATCAGAAGTTCAAGGTCAGACTCAGCTACATAGTGAGTTTAAGGTAAGCTTCAGTTTACAAGACTTTGTCTCAAAAGCCTCTACAAGCTCATGCACACCATTAGTCCCAGTACTCAGGAGGCAGAGGCCAGCTAGGGTCTACAGAGTGAGACTTCATCTTAAAAAACAAACAAACAAACAAACAAACAAAAAAACCTACAAACAACCATTGGTCTTTAGATGTGTTCCCAGGTGCCTCCATGTGTACCTCTGCCTCACTACTGTTGCCTTCTGAATGGGGACAGTGGCCATGCTTCCACCTGGGAGCCATAGAGCTCCTCTAACATAGACTGCTGACTCCGGAGAAAAGGACCCAATCACAGAGCAGCCATTCCTCCAGGTTCAAACAGTGTCTGCCCTGCTGGCTCCTCACCCCCCCAGGAGGCAGTGTTCTCAGCGCAGGACACATGAGGTCCTCCACTAACTTGGAGGCTCCATGGGAGACTTGGGCCTGACCTGGGTCTGCTCTCCGGGCAGCTCCCCTGAGTGGATGACTGTGTCCTGTCCCTCCTCAAGAACTGCCAGTGTCATCTCATTTCCTTCTGCCCAAGCACTTAGGCCTAGCCATCTTCACCTGGTCCAAGG